CTTCTCCTGCGACGGAACACGAGCGGCTGCATGTGGGCGTCTCGGTTTGACGAGTTCTAGGTTAATGCAGAATAAAAGAGCATCATTAAATATACAGCAGGAGAAGCTGCAGCAGCTGCTTCCATTTCTGCCTCTTCCACTCCCGCTTTATTCAGCCGAAATGACTGAATCAGTCTAACATGAAACATCCCGGCTAGAAGCTGGTCCAGACTGACTCAGAATGTGTCCGAAATGAAGGAAAATTGGCCTAAAATTATGAAGAATCTGTTTAAAATGATGAAAACTTGTCCGACATGACCTGAAACTCAACTAAAGCTACAAAGGTTTTCTTCAAAATGACTCAAATGGACCCCACAGCTGTCCAACGTGACAGAGACGTGTCCAAACGGTCTCACAATTTGTTAGAAACAACAAAAATGTGTCCATAATGACTTGAAGTTTGTCTAAAATAAAATAAATGTGTCTACACAGACTCTAAATGTGTCCAAATTTAATCAAACATTTCCCCAGATGACTCAGAATTTGTTCAAAATAACAAAATAATTTCTAAAATGACTCAAATTGTGTCTAAAATAAACAAAAATTTGCCCAAAATTACATAGAATGTGTTCAAAATGATAGAAACTTTTCCAAAAGTAGTTCAAACTTCTCTGAAACGACAAAAACATTCGTCTAAAATGACTAAATGTGACTCAGAATTGGTTCAAAATAACAAAACTTTTCCTAAATGACTCAAATTGTCTAAAATGAAGAAAAATTGCCCAAAATTACATAGAATGTGTTTAAAATGACAAAAATGTGTCTGACGTGACAAATTTCACTAAAATTGCAAAAGTTTTGTCCAAAATGACTCAAATTGAAAATATTTTTTTCCCCAAACGACTGAAATTTGGTGCAAACTGACTCAAAATGTTTCCAACGTGACTCAGAATTTGCTCAAAATGAAAAAAATGTTTCCAAAATTAGTTGAAACAACAGAAATCACCTCTAGTGACTCCAGATGAGTGAAAAAGCCTCTAAATGACTGAGAACTGCTCAGAAGGACTCTGAACTTGTCTAAAATGACGACGACGTGGCTCAATGTTCAGGTTGCATGTTCTAATCCCGGCTGTCTGATGCTTCCTGCTCCAGACCTCGGGTGAATGTTCTGGTTCGACTGATCCACCACGAAGCTCTTCAGAACTCGTTGGACTCTGAAAGCTTTGAGCTGCGACGACCAGAAACGTGTCGGGAAAAGACTCGCTGCAGGATTCACGGCCTTCGATTCGGCCCGCTGTGGACGCTCTGTGTGCTTTTTGGTGAGTTGTCTGGAAAAAATGCTGGAGTTGAGCAGAAGGTCAGAGAGCCGAACCTGAGCGGCTCAGCTGTGGCCTCTTCACCCTTAAAACGTCTTCTCTCCTGGTTTCACCTCGTCCAGCCTCTCCGGCCTCGTCTCCTGCTCCGTCCTCCTCCGCCTGCAGCAGACGCTCTGAGGCAGGACTCTGTGAATCCCTCCTGGTTCCTCCTCCGGCACTTCCTCCGAGTCTTGCCTCAGTAAATCTCAGACGTGGAGGGAGGCGAACAACCCCCACGCTTCCACCCAAACACCGCACAAATTACAGACCACAACATCTGCTGAGGACGCACAGCTTCCCTCGGAGGGAAAACTGCTTCACAAAAAGTTCTGGGAGTCGAAAACACAAAGAGAACAACAGGCTTCACATCCACCTCGTCTCAGAGCCGTCGGTGTTTCCGTCACCGTCAGCAAGAGACTCACACAGAACACACAGAAGACGCACAAAGTGACTCAAAATGGGTCTAAAATCACCAAAACTTGCTCTGAATGTGTTCAATAAAACTAAAACTAAAACCAAATTGACACAAATTTTGCTCAAAAACATACTAACTTTTTTTAAATGACAAAAACTTGACTTGAAACTTCACCAGAATGACCGATTTGTCCAACATGACTCCATGTGTGTGAAGCCTAAAAGTTAATTCTTCAAAATGATTCAAAATTTGTCTAAAATAGCTGAAAATTGGTGCAAATGGACTGAAAATGTGTCCAAAGTGACTCTGACTGTCTGAAACGTCAGAACAGCCGTCTGCAGGAGACTCACATGTTGCATCACAATAAGCAAATGAAACACAGAAGAAGCACAAAGTGACTCAAAACGGGTCTAAAACGACTTCAATCTGCCCAAACTCACTCAGAATATGTTCACTATAACAAAAACTTTTCCAAAATGACACAAAATTTGCTGAAAATGATTCAAAATTTGTCCAAATCAGCTGAAAATTGGTGCAAATGGAGTGAAAGCGACTCTAAAATGGCTTCAGTCTGACCTCGTGTTGTCTTCACTCACACGTTGCATCACAACAAGCAAACCAAACAGACGGATCAGAACCCTGGAAGCTGCTGCCGATGGACCTTCGATCTGCGGTTTTTCCAGCTGCACTTGTGCTGCGATGATTAAAGCTCGGCCGAAGAGCCTGGAGCCGGTTATCAAACCGGTCGACAGCAGCTCCGACGCCGACGATCAATGTCACATGTGGGTTCCAGCGAGGCCTTCAGGGGACGCTGGCAAAAGTCAGACAGATTGATCGGGTTCAAGTGCTGCTGTCGGTCGGCGTTACCCAACACGGCAGGTTTTTAATCGCAGCGATTCAGTGTCTGACAGAAGAACTTAAAGGTCTTCACGTGAAGCTTCAAGCGGCCAGAAGACGTGTTTTAATAGAAAACATGACGCAGAAGCTGCTTCAGGAAGCTCCGGTAACTTTAAAGGGTTTGTGCTGGTGAAGCATTGTGTGTCTGTATTTACTGCACTGAGATCAGCTAAACGTGGATCAGAACGGTTGTTCCAGTCGGATGGTTGCTGAGAAAAGACCTGAAAATCACCCAAAACGACTCCAAACTTGACTTCAATGACAAAGATTCATCTGAACTGACGAAAACTTATCCTGAAAATAACAAAAACTTGTCCAAAGTGACCAACATACGTCCACAGTGACCAGAAGTTTGACCAGAACGACTAAATGTGTTGAACATGACAGGACTTGAAACCAAAATCTTTCAAATGAACTCCACGTGTGTCAAACCTGATGGGATTTTTCCCCCCAAAATGACTCAAATTTAGTCTCAAACGATTCAAAACGTGTTCAGAACTGCTTAAATGAGTCCAAAATGACTTAAAATGTGTTTAAAATGACAGAATCTGGTCTGATGCGACTTCAAACTGCTCTACAATTACAATGACTCAGAATTCACCTAAAATGACTCTAAAATGGTCCAAACTGACAGAACTCTGTCCAAACTGGAACATCCAGATGTGTTCAACATAAAATCCACGTCCTAAATGACTCAAATTTAGTCTGAAACGATTTAAAACGTGTTGAGGATTGTTTTAAATCGTATGAAGGAGCTGAAAATGTGTCCAGTGTGAATGAAAGTTTGTCCAAAATGACTTAAAATCTGTTTAAAATGACAGAATCTGGTCTAAAATTACAACATTTTCCCCAAAAAATGACTCAGAATTCGTCTAAAATTACTGTTAAATGGTCCAAACTGACAGAAACCTGTTCAAGCTGGAACATCCAGATGTGTTTGAAACTAAAGTCTCGTCCTAAATGACACAGATTCGTCCAAACTGACAAAAGATGAGTTGAAAATAACAAAAACTGGTCTGAAGTGACCAAAACACGTCCACAGTGACTGGAAATGTGACCACATGTGTTTATAGGACAGAAAGTTGCCGAGCAGGACTTGAAACCAAAATCTTTCAAATGAACTCCGCGTGTGTCAAACCTGACGAGTGTTTTTTCCAAAATGACTCAAATTTAGTGTAAAGCGATTGAAAATGTCTTCAGAACTGCTGAAAATGTGTCCAGGATGAATGAAAATGTGTTTAAAATGACAGAAACTGGTGTGACATGACTTTAAACTGGTCTAAAATGACTGTAAATCTGTCCAAACTGGAACATCCAGATGTGTTGAAGATAAAAATTCTGTCCTAAATGACTTCAAATTTGTCCAAATTGACTCTGAGTGTTTCCAAAATGACAGAAACTTCTGAGCAGTGGTTCAGAGCGGTACCGGGACCGTGGATGTGAACTGGGTCCAGGACAGAAGTCACCTGTTCAGTGCAGCTACACAGAAAAACACAGTTGAGGAAAAGTGAGAGCTGCTCCGGGGTGACCTCATGCAAAACAATGAGTCATTAAAACAGCAGAGACTGAATCAGCTAATTGAACAGAGGCGGCTCGGAGCCAAACGACCAATCAGCACCAGCAGCAGGAGACAAGAACGACAAGAGGCAACGACACAAAGAGCCAGAATCTGTCATCCACACGGCCAGCCGGCCAATTTACAGCCAGAGGAGCCCCGAGGCGGCTGATCCGAGCTGGGAACACCGGAGCACACTGGGTTTACGGTCAAACAGCACAAAGCAGCGCGGAAACTCCAGAACCGAGATTCTGAGTGTGGACCTGCTCAGAATCCAGAATCACATGGTTGCTTTCAGTCTGTAATAATCACATTTAAGGACTTTTCTCTTACATAAACCTCTCAAATGTGCCTTTTCTGACAAACCAAACACTCTGGAACAGCTCTGGAAAACCCATCCAGGCGACAGGTCCAGTGAATCAGACCCTTTACAGTCCAATAAAAGCCAAACGCGTCTCCATGCGAGCCGCCAAGTTTATTTTTACCCAAAGACAATTATTACACACAGATTCTCGGTCAAAGTGGCAGCACCAGGCCCGAGCTGTGTCCGTCACACCGAGCACTCACAGCCGGGGATCCAAACCCTGCTCCCCGCTGGTTCCGCTCAATCTAAAGCAGCGTTTTTTGCGCGTAAAAACAAGAAACATTTTTACGCACGAGTGAGATTTTTACGCACGAAAAGCGGCTCAGCGGAGAAACAGCAACAAAAGCAGCAGCAGCAGCAGCAGCGCGGCGGCTCCGACGTGGAGCAACTTGTGTTTCTCCCCCACAGCTGAAGTTTGACTCCAAAATAACTCACCGTCTCCCCGCAGAGGACCGCGGTCAGCCCGACGCTCAGTATTATCCAAACGTTCCTCATTATTCCTGCGTTTAATCAGCTAAACCCGCCGCAGGACCAGCGTCAGATCGGCTCCTTCTTCTTCTTCTTTCTCCTTTTCCTTCGCAGCCGAACTCCTGCCGCGGCTCTCAGGATCCCACCGTGTTGCTGCTGATTCCTCCTCCTCCCGCTGCAGACGCTTCTTCTCCTGCTCCTGCTGCTGCCGCTTCTCCTTCCTGCTCGTCTGCTGCTTCTTCTTCTTCTTCTTCACGCGTAAAAATCGACCGTGTTTCTGGAAACGTTTTAATTGCGAACTCCTCTGCGCTCCGTGCGTCGCTGAAATCTGCACAGTGAAGCTCGCTCCCTGCCTCTCCGTGGCTCTCTCTCTCTCTCTCTCTCTCTCTCTGGTGCGCGCTCCCTGCAAAAATAACGAGGACAAAGTGGGGAAGGCGCGTTCACGGGCGACGCTCCGGTGAGTGTCTTTTCCAGGCGCGTCACCGAGAGACGCAGCGAGGAGAGAGACCAGTAGACACCCAGAAACAACAACAACAACAACAACAACAATAATAATAATGTCATTGATCTGGATCACGAACAGCCTGATCCAGACTTGGACTCCAGGTTTACCACCAAGCTTCGGGGTAATTAACGGGATCGTCTCTGATCAGAACAAACCAGTTTTCTGTCAGATGTAAAACAAACATCAGTGACTTCAGTTCTGATTTCTCGCTGAATTAAAACCACCTAAAGACAAAGTCTCCCCCTGCTGGACACCACGGGCACCGTCACCTTCACCAAA